TTATTAATATTTCATTTAAATTATAATGAAGAATATTATTATTATTTTAAAAACAATACAAAAATAGAAAAGAATTAATATTTTGAAACATATATTAAATTTTTTTATATTGTTTTAAAAGATAAAGTTGTAGAATTAAAGATTTCTTATTAATAATTGGTACACGAAAATTGTACTATTTTATTTCCAAAAAAATGATTAATATTTATAAGTTTAATAATCCATAATTAATGTGAAGCGTGATTTTCTGTATTCTTGCAAATCGTTTCAATCTGATAAGAGATCCATAGCGAATCGCGAAACGAAACCGCGGACGCTTCTCATGCGACGGCATAACTTCTCAAAGAAGAACTATCTTGCTCGTTACTCGAAGCTGTAACTTTGACAAAGTAAATGGCCACACAGGGAGACAGCGAAACAACTTTTGATAGGATCGAAACTCTTGGGAAACTACGCGGTAGACACATAGAATTGCCTCCGCGAAAGGACATGAGATTCTTGAAGGCTTTTGTATCTTCAATATTTCTGTATGTCTTTGATGCTCTTTTGAATAATCCTCTTATAAGATCTATTAAGTTTTGGAGCTTACAACTAGCGTGCTAATCGCGGTATTTATGATATATTACTTGCGATTTGTTTGCTTGAATTAATTCTTTGTATGATAAAAAGTATATTTATTTAAAGGTAAACATTTATTCAAAAATGTAATATTGGATAATGAAAATCTTTTTATTTTTTACCAGAAAACCTATTATAAAATGAGATATATAGTTTATCAGAAGGATTAAAAAATTTATCATTTGATTCTGAAAATCTCTCATCGCATCAAATTTCACGCTTCTCATTAACTGATTTTATCATATATCTAGAGATAATATATAAAAATATATATAAAAATTTGCTTTTATAAAATGCTGGAGGTCGTATATACATTGAAATATTTTGAGTTGGAAATGTTTCTTTTCATATAGTTGATAAATTTTTTCAAATAACAGTAATGAATAAATTTTATATATTTGAAATAGTCAAGAGAATATTGAGAATAAATCTTGTTTTGCAATAAACGCGTGTTAAAATTCAAAATCCATAGAATTAATTAATAACATATCATCAACCAATAAATTTGTGCCATATTGAATTTTGAGACTTTTGTCTCTATTAGTAATTCTATGGATCAAGAAAATAAGGGAAAGATTCGAGACTTTTAACAAACAGCTTAACCATGTACTTGGTGCAATTACCGGGCATTTCGCAGCTCCGATGGTAGTTGAGCCTTGTTTCTGATCGGATAATTTCGCGTCCTTAATTTATATTGACCTTTAGGGATCAAAGATTTTAGATT